CCGTGTCCCGCGGGGCGGCGGGCAGCGCTCGGTCCGTGTCCCGCGGGCCGGGCGCGCTGCGGAGCCGCTGGGCTGTGGCGGGCGTGGGGGTGTGCGCTGTGCTGTTCTTTGTCTCGGCTCTGCGCTAAAGGAGCGCAGCGGTGATGCTGCCGGCTCCTGCTTGGGTGGTATTGATCGCAGAGAAGCTAATGAGGCAGCTCTAGATGAAGCTGAATTTTACAGATTAATCTGTTACCTGCACCTTAACCATTTTTCTCTTTTTCCTTTTCGTTTAATAGCTTGTCTTGTTAGTATTAGTGTTTTAATTTATCAGAGCACACAGTTGTTAGATGGATGTTAACCTTCAGCATATATAAAATCTTAATGGTAGGGTGAAATAGTCCCATTTTAGCACTGCTTCCTGTAAAATAACTGTACCAGATGTTAAAAAAATAGGAGGTTGCCGTTGGTCTTGAATAGACACTAGTAGCCCAAGCTGCCATGTAATTAGTCTTTGGTAAAGCACATGGTGCCTCAACAGAATGGATCCAGGCTTTGGGAACCTGTTAAAAACGTGGTTTGTTGAGAGCTGTGGGTAGCATTATACATGTTATTTGTCCAAGTCATTCCTAAGTGAGGAACGTTAGTGTGATCACAGAGAACTAAATTACTGCCTGCCTAAGATCTTGTCAGCCGTATGTTATTAATAAGCAGCACTTCAGAAAAGAGGAATCAGACTGACACTGCTCTGTCTCTCTTACAAACGTGCCCCGGCTGTTTCCTGTCTGTTTCAAGAACTTCGCAAAACTGCTGTGGCATAGCTGAGGCAGAAGAGTGTCACATGGACAGGTAAATGCCAAATGCTGAAACAATTAACTTATTTTTACTTAAAACAAAGCAGATACATTGTGGGTGAACAGAGAACCACGGCTGAGGTGGCCCTGCAGATGGGGAGCTAAATTGATACTGCAAATACAATCCTCAGGATACTTGTGTATTAGTGTGATGTAATTTCAGAGGTATCACTTGAGGTTTGCTGCTTTCTAAACGTCAGCATAAGCCTGCTGGTAAAATCTCAGCCTTTGAATCAGAGCAGCATGACCAGATCTTCTGTGCAAGTTTGTTTGCTGTCCAGTGTTAGCACTGCAATGCAGGAGGAGAGACCTGCTGACTTTGTCCTTGCTCCTGCAGTCAAGGTGCAGGGGGAGGAAAGGAGGGGGCAGGAAGAACTGTCTTGTTTGGTTGAACATGAAGGAGTTGATACTGTAATTCTGTTTCTAAAAATTCTCTCCCAGTTGTTAGAGGGAATGCCCTGATAAATATATCCTCTGACGTTGTTCTAAAACCCAGGTGTCATCAACTAGTGTTACATAATTTTCTTGCATGTCTAATTTGTTGCTTCACATGTATTCTCTGATATCTGTACCTTTTTAGGACCAACCACAAGCAACAAAATCTGTTCATCATACTGCAAGATTAACCATATACCACTTGGTATCTTTGGAATATCACAGTGTGTGTCTTAGGCTCATGTCCCTTTGTTCTGCCCAGCAGTAGATCTGATGCATGGTGGATTTTCTATTGCTGTGTGTAGCACATCTTTTAAGAAGGTAAAATCTGAGCACAGTACCTTCTCCAGCAGTGCTAGGCTGTGCTCAAATTCATGGTTCATGAGGGAGGCTGCAAGGAGTGCTCTGTGTCAGCCCCAGTGCTGCCAGTGTGTCCTCCCGGCTGTCAAATGACTTGGCTGGGACTGTGGCACCTTTCCCCTGCTTCAGCATGGAGTTGGACTCTCCTGGGTGTTGTTACAGCTCATGAGTCTTTTCTCTTAAGGTGGAAAGTGTCAGCCCAAAACAACAAAAATAAAACAAAAAATACTCCAGTCTTCTTGTCCTTGCTGATTTTATCTTTATATACAACATATGGAGAAATACTTTGAAATACTTGAGCATGTTTACTTTTAGGATTGTGCACTTCCAGAACTGTGCACCATGATCTGTGATGAAATTTGTGCTAGCATTATGAAAGAGCCTGTTTGTGCACAGCAGGTGCTGGTGGGCTGACCTGAGCAGCTCTGTCACTCCTCTCCTTAGGGGGTGGAAGGTGGAAAAAGCCTCAGGGGTCAAGGTAGAGGCAGTTAATTCAGGAAGAAATAATTTATGCAGAAACAAAGGGAAGCAGAAGATTTTATTCTCTGCTTCCCCATTAGAGAAGCTGGGTTTCAGTATGGATAGGAGATGCTCTGAAAGACAAATGTCTTAAATAACAAATGCCCTCCATTCTTTTAGGGTTTTTTGTTTTTTTTTAAATCTCTGAGCAAATGCCACAGGATAAGGAATATCCCTTTGGTCAGCTTGTGTCCCCTGTGCTGGCTTTTCATTCAGGTCTGTCAGGGTAGTTACTTGAAGTGTTCCCTGCCTAATTTTGAAAGCCCTCTGTCCATGCAACAAAGTTCAAGGCCTTCAGGCTTGTAAGTCTCCACCGTTAAAAAAAAAAATCCCATTGTCCTTCAAAACTGCTCTTGGACCACTAGACTCAAAGCCTTAAAACCTGTTCAAGTTGCTATTAAAAATATTGTTTGTAATGAGTAGAGAGCGGGTAACCTGGCTGCATGGGTACTGTGAATTTTTATGACTCTGTAATTTGTTCAGTGTTTGTTAGATAGGCTCTGAGTGCCTCAGATTACCTGGTGTGTATTTAGCTAATCCTGAAAAAACATGTAAGATATGGTACAACAAGCAGCCAGCACCTCTTAAATCATATTGGAAAGGTCAGGGGAGTTAAGGGTGGGGCAGAATAATCCACTACAGCTGGAGGCTTGTGAAGGGTTTTAATATATCATCAGACCTGAAAGCCAGAAGGTTTAAATGATCTTTAAGATTTGAATTAATAAATTATGTCCCTGCCCTGTTATATTTTTAACTACAACCAAAAATATTTTGGTCTTCCCCATGCATGATGACCCTTATTATCTCATGTTAGAGGAAATCTATGATACTTTGTGGCACTTTAATATTTGATTGTGTTATATCATATTTTCTTTCTTACCTGCATTTTCTAGAAGTCCTCTTTTAGAATCAGGGAGGGGAGAGTTTGGATTTCCTATTAATGTTTCATATTGGGTTTTTTGGGTTTTTTTAGTGAAGTGCTGGTAAGTCTCCAGCTGTGTGATATGTGTTTCCCATGAGGAAGACTTGAGATTCAGGTGTTCACTGCTTGCATGTTCTTGTAGTCCATAAAAGCTGACTGAAGGAAGAGGAGCAATTGTTTGCAGCCAGGTTAGCATCTGAGTGCCTGTTGCTGCAGCAGATGTGAATTTAGCTTTAATACTTTTGGACTCAATGGTTGTTTAAAAAGGGTTATTACACAAGGATTACTAGTTTGTAAATCAGCTCAATCGATTTTATTAATATTTGCTGAATAGGAAATGTTTCCCATTTCTAATGTAGCTGTTCTAGTTTGCTTCAGTTCCCCTAAGCAGCTATGACATGACCCCTCTGAGCTGAGGATTCTCTGCGTTCACCCAAAAGTCCCTCATTA